CCCGCGCAGTCCCCTCCCGTGTCCGCTGTCACCTACCTTCTGGGCTGCGTAGTCCGCTCCCCTCCACTGACTCGGCCTCGGCCGGAGTAGCAGAGAGGAGGCACCGCCCCTTCCGCGTAACGGGGAGGAGCCGGTGAGATCACTGCGAAGCCGGGAAAGTCCCCGAGGGGCCCCAGGAGCCACGCTGGACCACGCTGAGTAACTGCTGTGTAGGCGGACCCAAGGGAGAGCAGACGGACCGCCCAGTCTGCACTGGGCGCAATTGGGCGCTCTGAGGGCCCCAAATGGGGCATTTAACATAATCAGTTCAAACTAGCCTGAGCTACAGGGGCAAGTTCCTGTTTGCATAAAATAAAAATAAATAAATAAAATGAAAAACAAAAAGGGTTGGAGGCATACTTCAGTGAGAAGGTCCTGTGTCCAATCTATTTGAACAGGTCAACTTAGTCAGACTCTGTTTCAAAAGACCACTTGCAGAAGAATTGGTGAGGGGATAACCAGGGATTGAATTTAGAAACTTTCCTTTGTGAGGGAGGTGTTGGGCACCACTGAGCTAAATCCCCAGCCCTGCAGAAATATTTTTAAAAAATAACCTTAGCCGGGCGTGGTGGGGCACGCCTGTAATCCCAGCACTCAGGAGGCTGAGGCAGGAGGATCGCTGTGAGTTCGAGACCAGCCTGGGCTACACAGTGAGTTCCAGGTCAGTCTGAACTACATAGTGAGACCCTGTCTCAAAAAAAATAAAACAAAAACAAAAAAAGCAATGACTTAGTGCTGTATTTCCCAGCGAATGAACACACACAGAGTGGTCCACCCACAGGAAGGAACATCAACCAGGAAAAGGAAGACCAGCACCTCTACAGCCGGGATGGCCCTTGAGGCCGCGCTGCTCAGGAGCCGAGCCACACACAGGAGGACACGCAGGGCAGGGCCCCGCGCCCAGGAGGCCCAGGGTGGTCAGACCCACGGGGACAGGAAGGAGGACGGCGGTGCCGTGCTGGGAGGGGACGGGGCCAGCGTTTCCTGGGCAGAGCTGGGGGGATGGAAAGTCCTGGGGGTGGACGGCTGGGGTGGCCCAGGCGAGAGATGCGCTTGATGCTGCTGATCCACACATTTGGACACAGTCAGGAGGGGGTTGAGTGCGGCTCAGTTACAGAGCACATGCTCAGCAAGTACAAAGCCCTTGGTTGATTCCCTAGCACCAAAACAAAGTTACCATGATTTTAGGTTATATATATTTTACCACAAGTTTTTTTAAAAAATTATTTTTGAGGCAAGGTCTCACTATGTAGCCCAGGCTGGTCTCCAACTCACAGCGATCCTCCTGCCTCAGCCTCTCGAGTGCTGGGATTACAGGCGTGCGCCGCCACACTGCACAACACTGACTGCATGGTGACCAAATTCAGCCGTTTCAGGTTCTCCAAAGCACAGAAATGGCTGTGAAAGTATCCACTGTCTGCTGGGGACAAGGGACAGAGACAGGGCCCGGGCCCAGCTGCTGCCTCACTCGTAATTGAGGAAGTGGAACCAGCAGTCAGTGTGGGTGGAAATAGAGACCTGACTTTTCCCCCCTCAGAGTCCCAGGCACCCTGGACTCCCGGCCAAGGGACCCCAGCAGTTCAGAACCGCAGGCTGCCGGTCACGGAGAGTCCTTACGGGGGGCTGCACAAGCCGGGACAGAGACGTGAGATCCCTGCCTTGCAGCCTCCCTGTCATGGAAGGCATTAGAGAGGAGGAGGAAAGAAATGGTCCTCAGCAGGGCGTGGGGGTGCGTGCCTGTCACCCACCCCAGCTACTCACGTTGGAGCCCAGCCTGGATAACTCGGTGAGAGCCTGTGTCACAATAAAAAATAAAAGGGAGGTAGCTCAGTGGGACTGTGCCTGCTTAGCAAGCACAAATTCCTGAGTTTGATTCCCAATACGTGAAAAAAATAACAATACAAATAAATAATAAAAAGGGCTGGGGTATGGCTCAGTGCAGGGCCTTAGGTTCTGTCTCCAGCACCAGATAAAACAAGGGCTAGGGATTTGCCTCAGTGGTGCCGCCACCTGCCTCAAAAGTGCAAGGTCCCGAGTTTGATCCCTGGTACCAAAACCAAAACAAAACAAAAACAAAAACAAAAAACACAAGCCATCTGCCTTCCCGAGTCTCCTCACTCAGCTGCTTGCTTGTGACCCACAGGCAATTAATTGCTCTTCTGACTGTCTTCCTGTCTATTGTGATGTTTCCTTTTCTTTTTCTTTTTTTTTGGTACCAGGGATCGAACTCGGTCGGGTCCTTGTGCTTCCGAGGCAGGTGGTGGAACCACTGAGCTAAATCCCCAGCCCTATTGTGATGTTTCTAAGCTTCAGCCTAGAAGATGCTTTCGTGTCTGGGTTCTTCCCCCCACCCCACTCTGCCTGTGTTTCTTCCATGTTGTTGGAAATATTAGGGCTTTCTCCTTTTTAAGGCAAGGTCCCTTTCTTCATGTGCCCAGGTTAGCCTCCAACCCCTGGGGGTCAAGCAATCCTCCTGCCTCAGCCTCCCAAGAAGCTTCAACTATCGGCACACACACACCGGAACCTTATTCCTTTTTGATGCTGTGCTATTCCACAGTGGATGATTATACGGTAGTGAAAAATGATAACACATGTTTTTCATCCCCCACCTTTTTTTCTTGACTGAGATTCTATCCAAGACTTTCACACTGAGCTACATCCCCAACCCTTTTCCACTTTTTATTTTGAGACAAGGTCTAAGTCACCTAGTCGCCCAGGGTGGGCTCAAACTTGCAATCCTCTTGCTTCAGCCTCCCACCTAGCTGCAATGACAGGCATGCGTCACTGTGCCCGTTCTAAGCTATTTTTGCTTTAGCAGCACGAACAGACTAAAACATACACACGAACTTTAGCTGCAGGTGAAATTTATTGAGGAGACACTGCAAATCTGGGTACTGGGACAGGGCTCACCATGCAGACCTTTTGAACCCAGAATGAGCTGGGTCCTCAGACCAGAAGTCCTAGTCTGGGCAATTTAGTAATTTGGGGAGACCCTGTCACAAAATGTAAAATAAGGGATGGGGGCGTGGCTCAGTGCCAAGCCCTCGGAAGCAAAGCAAAAAAAAAAAATAGAAAGCGAAGCGGAGTTTGAAGAGAGCCGGTGGTTGGAGAAGCCAGCGAGGGACACGGCCGACCACGCGCCTACTTCTCCTCCTGGCCCGG